GAGCTAGCAGCAGAATATGGAGTAGTGGGAGGTAAGAGCGGTCCGATGTCTTCGGAGGTGAAGCTTTCTGATTTTGATCCTGGTGAGGTGGCGACAGACTTCCTGTTTCGTGAGCTGGTAGGATCGTTGATGTGGCTGGCGACTCAGACTAGGCCAGACATTGCGAATGCAAGGGCAGTAGCTAGGTATTGCGCATCTCCGAAGCTGGCACACAGGAATGCAGCGATGGACATTTTAGGCTATGCGAGGAGGACGAGTCACTTTGGTATTTCGTTTCAGAGAGGTACGGTAGAGGGATTCAGCTTGCAGGGGTACGCTGATGCGGACATTGCAAGCAAGGCAGCAGACCGTAGGTCGGTATCAGGGGGGATCGTGACGTGTGGAGGAGGTGCTGTGTCTTGGTTTTCCAGAACGCAGAAGTGTGTCACGCTTTCGACCACTGAAGCAGAGTACGTCGCGCTAGGTGAGGTAGTGGAGGAGATTTTGTTTTTGAGGCAGATATGGCGTTTCATGTTGCCGCAGGTCGGCATGCCGTGCATCCCCATCTTCGANCAGGGGGGATCGTGACGTGTGGAGGAGGTGCTGTGTCTTGGTTTTCCAGAACGCAGAAGTGTGTCACGCTTTCGACGACAGAAGCAGAGTACGTCGCGCTAGGCGACGTAGTGAAGGAGATTTTGTTTTTGAGGCAGATTTGGCGTTTCATGTTGCCGCAGGTCGGCATGCCGTGCATCCCCGTCTTCGAGGACAACCAGGGGGCGATTCAACTAGCGAAGAACCCCATCTCAAACTCGAACTCGAAGCACATAGATGTAAGGTACCATTTTCTCAAGGAACTGGTAGAGAGGAAGGAAGTTTCGGTCATCCATGTGCCGTCGCCATACCAGCGTGCAGACTTTCTTACGAAGAGTTTGTCGAAGGATGTTTTCGAGTCTCACCGTGATTTTGTGATAATTTGGCATGAACATTTTGTTGTTTTTCTGATGGTTTGTGTTTTGGTCTTGTTTTTTTTTTCGTTTTGGTTCATTTCCCGCGCCAAGTATTTGTTACACGCGATGCAGCATTCGTGTTTCTTTGAATTGTTTTTCTCTCTTATATTTTTCTGGTCAAGTCTTCATGGCATATATTCTGGGAAAGACGTATTTTGGTTGAGATATCGGGTGTTAGCGAAGTTTTCAGTGAGAAACTGTTGCGAGCAGGGGGAGTGTTAGATATTCTCGCAGCAGTATCTGGTCGTGAGGATCCCAGGGGGATACATGTTGGGAATTTCGTGTGTTGAAGGGTACCACGGGCGCAGTCACGGGGAACCTTTGGGCGTGGTCGGTGCGATGATGAGGCTTGCGTGCGTGCTGCGCACTTTTCCCTCTCTCTCTCCACCACCACCACCGTCTCTCTCCAACCAAGTTTCCTTCTCCCACTCTCTCGCCAACTCTCTCTCTCAACCTCTCTCTCTCGGCCTAACACGGCCGACGACCCAGTGCCCCAAAGTATCGTCCAGAACGTACTTGCTGCACCCCGCGTAGTTTACCTTTCAAGTAGTAACCAATATCGGTCACACCAGAGGGTCCTAATTCCAGCGGAAGTTGTACCTGATGGAGGTTTCTTCAGAAATGGGTACAATGGTTTTTCGGCCAATCAGCTGACAGCCTAGGGGTGCAAGCGTGTTGATTTCTAACTGTAGCCTAAAGTGGTGATAATGTACCCGGGTATACCGGTTTCTGGTTATTGGTCAAGAAATATTTCAAAAAAACTTTTTTCAGGGCAATTTAGACCTGGATACTGCTGTGTTCCTCCGTAATACCATCTTCCTTTTCGCTCGCCTCCCTAGACTACTGAAATCCCAGCCTATTGGTGGAACCTAGTCGACCTGTAAACCGTGACATTTATTTGAAGACGTCACGCGTACCGAGAGAAACCGAGCTATTCTACTTGTAGCTCGAAGGGAAACCGTCTGCGAATTTTCAAGGAGTGAAGCCGTGGGCGGTAGCTTGCTCCTAGAGATAGATGAAGGTTCTGTCGTTGACACGCTTGTCCACGACCACGTTGAGATGGGAAAGTTGCTTGTTACTGCTGAGAGACGACCAGCAAAGGTCTGAGATGAAGTGGGGATCCAACTTCATCTCAGGGAGTACACAGAGTAGACAATTCTAAGGGGGTAGGGGTCAGAAGGAAATACCTCCTGACCGACCCGCATCCTATCAACAATAAGATGCACCCTTTTCATGCTAGTAGCCACACTCCTTAACACTAGCCCACCCTGGATATCATATATGCAGATTCTATACTCAAATCAATGCTCAAATCCAAAAGCTCCAGGAATATTTAGCTCATGATTTATGATGATGAATCGAAGGTATGACTCTTCACAAAACATCCACAAGGAGGGTGAGTTGTAGAAATATCCCGAATCAACCCCCCACACCATCATTGACATGAAGAATGCGAACGGTCACGAGACGGAACATCGACATCTCAATGACAACGCTTGAAGCGATTAAGCTAGGAAGAATATATATATTGCGGCAGAGCACGCTATCATCCTGAACAGACGACGACAGGGAAAAATAAATCAATGTCCAGACGCCACACATCACTCTTTTACGCGCACACGCGCGTATCACCGCTGGAGGAATGAGGGTGACTACCCGGGAGAGTCCAAAATATGGTGACGAAACTCAAAACCCAAACAAATTTCCGAACGAATACGGCCCTTGATACTGGACGTGACGCAAAGGGAAAGCTCAACGCAATCTAGGACGTTAACGAAGGGCAGGAGAAAGAACGACAGGCAAAGGCACGAAGAACGATTGCCAGCGTGCCAGGGCACCCAACTTGTATAAGGAGACGGCAGGTGCAAGGCCTAATGAGGACCAAGGATGCAAAGCACCAGCGATTGAGCCAAGTGAGGGGGTCGACGAACTGCGCCATGGCTCGCTGGCGATACGCATCTTCAAAGACATAAAACACAGAAAAGTCGTGGAGATTCACATAACAAGACGACGACTCAGGGGCGCTACTGTGATGAAGGCGTCGCCCGAAGGTGGCGATGATGGAGACGAAGCAAAACGAAGTGTGGGTGACGGCGAAAATCCATGGGAGAAGGCGACGCCACGGGATGAAATCCCGAAGCACCAAGCGAATGCAGCCTTCTGCGGCACGATAGAACAAAAACAAAATTGTTTGAGGCAACATTAGTTGGCAAACAGGCGAACCAGGAAAACGCGGGGAACTCGGTGTCCAAGTGTCCCGAGGCAAACATCACCGACGAAACTTGGGGAACTCTGTTTCCAAGTGTTCAGAGGCAGACAGCACCGACGAAACTTCGGAGGGAGCTTGTCGAGACAACCAAAGACCAACAACAACAAAAAACTTTGAGCAAAGGCGAGAGAGAACGGACATCCAGGTCGCGGCAGTTCACTGATTCAGATGAATGCAGGCAACAAGGAAGAAGGATCACTCGACACTGCGTGTCTTGAGGCGGCGTTGCCCCAGCGTCCAAAACAAAAAATAAGCCAACGAAAGAAAAGAGACAAGACAGAAAAACAAAACAAAAATAAAACAAAACGGAAGGCGACAAAAAAAAAAAAAGAAGCAAAACGTCGGCGAGAAGGATGGCACAAAACACCAATATAGGCCGATTGATATATGAAAACGACGACGCTAAGAAGAAATTGTGGGAGCAGCCGACGGTAAGGAGTCAGCAAGGAGCGGAGTGCGACCACGGTTGTCGCCCAGAGGGCGCGACCGATGTTTCTCTAAACACCATGATCCACAGACGGCGTCCAAGGCGGTGGAGTAGAGATGCGCAGGCAGAGGGGGAACGCTTGGGCCCGGGTCATCCAAAAATTGAACGATGTACGAGCCGCCCTGATGAGCACCAATACGTACGGTCCACCATAATCCATCACGGTCCTTGTACCACAGCCGCGCGCCAACAGGGAGGGGCAAAGTGCTGAAACGACGAAGCCAAGTCGCATTAAGCACAAGATCAGCCCCAGGAGGCAAATAGCGTTCTCCACGATTCCGGGCTAGCTCCCGCTGTGCCGCGCGAGTCCGAGCCACTCGATATGCACGGTTACCCTGCTTGCTTGGGCAGGCCTCCCGGGACCAACACAATAGCACGTCCAGCAGGGATGAATTGCGGCGTTCGACTCGCGAAATCTTCAGGGCGTTGTACTCACGGACAACTTCGTAGGCCCGGCGCTGGCGATCGACAGCCAGGTTGCAATGCTCGAGCTGATCACGGGCCAAGCTTTGACGACCACCTACCGTGGGATGATCGAAGACCGAAGGCCGGAGTCGCGGGATGCGTCCGATGTGGAACTCGTTTGGCGCTAATCCAGTAGACTGGGTCACGGAATTATTGTAGGCAAACTCAACGTGCGGGAGATGTATGTCCCAATCGTTTTGCTGTTCGTTGACGACCACCGCAAGCATCTGGGCCATCGTGTGGTTGACGCGTTTCGTGCCGCCGTTGGTCTGTGGGTGGTAGGAGCTGGTGGTGACCTTCTTGATCTTCATCACCTCGTAGATCGCCATGGAGAGCTTCGAGCAGAAATGCAGTCCGTTGTCCGACAATAACGTACTCGGACATCCCCACTTGGTCATGTATTGGGTGACGAAGATGTGAGCCGTCCCTCTCGCCGTAAATTCCGCCGCTGTAACTGCGAACATGTCGGCTCTCCGACGGAAACGGCCTGTGAACAATAAAATGTAGGAGTTGCCCTTGGCAGTCACTGGCAGAGGTCCGAAGAAGTCGACGCCGACGACCGTACCAGGCCCCTACGGCAATGGCATAGCGATGACGGGCCACCGAGCAGTCTGACGTGAACTCTTGCGAGCTTGACACACCAAACACGCCCGAAGCCACCAGCGCACGGAACAATCCAAACCAATCCACCAGTAGAAGCGCTCGAGTAGACGCTGTGTACGATGGACGCCGAAATGGAATGTCGCGGCCGTATGGCATGCATGAAGGGCCCACGGACGCATCAGCATTGGCACGTAGACACGGGGCACGCCAGTATCCGGCAGACGAGTGGTCCTGCCGCCAGAGCGCCCAACCGGCGACGTCGCCGATTTATGTACGAGGAGGGTGATGTTGGTCGTGTGCAGTCTGGTTTTCGCCGCCAACACAAGCACATCATCTAACCGAGGGGAGCGAAGAGGAGCACAGAGAGTGAGCAAGTCCGGAGGGGGTGGGGAGGGAGAACCGCGAGACAAAAAACGCATAGACACCACACACTCGCTCTCCCGCTGTTGTTGCCTAGCCCAGTCCACAGTGCTGAAACTCTGAACACAAGCCCGCAAGTGGGAGGTGTCCAAATCAGAAGATTCCGAAAAGAAATCAGGCGATCCAATGGAACAGGCGGAAGAAGGCGAAGCCTCAGCGACTGGGGCAGCCGCAGTCCGGGGTGATGTCCGCGAAGGGGACATTGTGAGTGGCGAAGTNAGCTGAAGAAGGCGAAGCCTCAGCGGCTGGGGCAACCGCAATCCGTGGTATTGTCCGCAAAGGGGACATCTTGAGGGGCGAAGTCCCGAGCGGAACCTGTAGAGAAGGCGAAGTCGGGGATGCAGGGCACGTCGCTGACGGCGAAGACACCGGGGGCGCAGGAGCAGTCCACGAAAACGCCGATGCCGGCGTTGCGGATGGCTGCCTTAGACGCGCGGCGGTCCGGATGGTCTTGTTTGTCGAGCGGGACCTGCTAGAGCGACGGGCAGGCAACGATGTCCGAGGGACGATGGTAGCCCGCGGCTGGCGTCCGAAATAAGCGGGACCGGTGACGATGCCTCCGGAAACAGCGGTAGTTTTGGCCCGAGTCCGTGAAGAAATGAGCGGTCCCTGCTCCGGAAGCGAAGACAAACCGTGCACATATCTAGCCGCCAAAGACGCGGCAGGAGACATCACGCGGGACGAATCAGAAGTCAATGGGGAAGCAGGCCCTGAAGATGCGGGAACAGGGGAGACGACGAAGACCCCCGGGGACCGCCGAGAATCCTCGCAGGCAATCGTTGAGTCCGTCAGAGCATCCAACCGACGCGGGTGATGTCGGCGAAAATCCCCAAAATCGGAGGGCTGCAACGCTGGGGGCGAAAAGACTCCCGCCGTGCAAGGAGGGCGGAGCCCACCCAAACCGACCTCCGGCGTAGACGACGAGTGATAGTTGCGCCCGCAAGCCCGAATGAGGAAAACACCCGCTTGATCGACACCATCAATGCAGTCGGGGGCGGTTTTGTCAGTGTCTTGTGCTGGTAAAGGCAACCGCGAAAGAAAATCCGCGTTGCCGTTTGCCGAACCTTTCCGATATTTCAGGGTGTAGGTAAAGTTGGACAGGAATTCGAGCCATCGTTGCACCCTAGCGTTGTGTTCCCCAACCTTGCCAATGCTCTCCAAGGCTTTGTGGTCCGAATAGATGATGAACTTGGTCGACCACAGACAACCGTGAAGGCGTTTGATAGCCCAAACAATGCCACCAGCCTCCAGATCCATAACGGTCCAATTACGCTCCGCAGGAAGAGTAGCGCGGCTGATGTACACGATGGGTCTCACCGAGCCATCGAGCTGTTCTTGTTCCAAGGAGGCGCCAAAGCCGTCGATGCACGCGTCGGAACACAAACGAAGAGGACGGCTGTTGTCCTCGATTGCTGCCCAATCCGGTAAGACCAAAATCGGGGGGCGAGCGAGTTCGCTTAACAACGTTTGACAACCTTGACCATGCCCGGGGTGTACTTGAAGGGGACGCCTTGTTTGAGGAGAGAGTTGAGAAGCCGCACCTTGGTGGCGAGATTCTCGAGGAATTTCCGGTAGTATCTGAGTCCACCGAGAAGGCTCCGAAGCTGCTTAACATTCGTCGGCGGCGGCATGTGCGTGAGCGCCCTAACCTTGACGCCATCAGGGCTAACACCTGCCGGAGAGATGGTGTGACCGAGAAAGTTGGCGTGCGTGGCGCCGACGCGAGCCTTCCCTGGAGACAGTTTGAGGTTGTACTGTCGCAGTCGTTTGAAGAACTCGATCAAGTTTAGCACGTGTCCCAGAGGTTCCTCATCGAAACAGATGACATCGTCCAGATAAGCCAGCACACGCTCCAGACCGTGCACCACTCTGTTGATGACCTTGACGAACCAAGACGGACTTGCGTTGGCGCCCTGCGGCATCCGAAGCCATTCGAACAACTGCGTGGGAGTGCAAAAGGCGGTGAGCGGGACAGTGTCTTCATCACAAACGATCTGGTGGAAAGCCGAGTTGAGGTCGAAGATGGAGAACACTTTCCCGGTGTACAGAGAATCCAAGATACCGTCCACTCGAGGGAGAGGTTGTCCATCCAGATCCACCAGGAGCGTTGAGACGTTTATTGTTGACGGTGATGCGAAACGCATCCGTCCTTTTTGGGGATGACAACTAAAGGAGAAGCCCACGGAGATGTGGAATGTTGAATGAGTCCTGCCGCCAAGTACTGGTC